TATTTTCCCACTGACCACCAATGTAAGCTACTTTTTCCCACTTACCCCCAAATTACGGGCATTTTCCCCACTGAGCACCAATCTGAGGGGTATTTTCCCACTGACCACTAATGTAAGGGGCATTTACCCACTGGCCATCACTATAAGGGGGGCATTCTTTCCACTGACCACCAATGTAAGAGGCATTCTTCCCAATTTTTCTTTATTAAAATTCTTGCAATCAATAAACATAAAATAATATACAGAATATACAAAAATAAATAAGTATATACATATTTACACAAAAATGAAAAATATAGCAAAATCTGCTGTCAGACAAAAGCAAACCTCTCAGAAATGAACATGTCATTACTGGGGGGGAAACAAACCTTACTACAACTCACATCACTACACCAGACATCAAACCTGAGAGGTCAAGAAACAACCCCACCCCATTATGCATGCAGCCCTTCTTCAAAAAGAAGATTTTAACCAACAAAAAGTAAGGGAGTGAAAAGAACAGCATAAGAAAAGAGCCCCTCAACCAGAGATGGACAGTTCACCAAAGCAGGTCTGATATTCCTCCATGCCCTTATCCAGACCGCCTGAGTCTCCCTGCCCTTTTCAAGACCCCAAATCTTCCCAACCTCACCCAACCACCACCTCTACAGGGAGGAATTTCTTCCACAGGGTAATCTGACACAGTGCATTCCATGTGAAGTAACGAAGAACTATACTAACTAAAAAAAGTGTATCCAAATCCAAGTCCCAGTGAGCTGGAAATGCCCCGTACACCCACTCTGCATAATTCCTGCGATAGAGAAAGGGGATGCCCAGAACCCTCCCCACCCTTTTATACACCTCTATGTTAAAGGGACACTGGAGCAGAAAGTGGTCCATAGACTCCACTTTACCAACACACTCTGCTCTAGGACAATCCCAATCATCCACAGGGGGGTGCTTCAGGTTCCCTCTCACATAGAGCCTTCCATGGAAAGCGCGAGCCAGGCTTGATCCCTAAACTTCAAAGGGATTCTCTCCAAGTTAATTAAATGCAATCCCTCCCTCATTACGGAGCCTGGGCAATCCTTTAAGGCCAGTGACACACTGAAAGCAGAAGCTGAAATTCTCTCCTCTAGAAGCTTCCTGGGGAGGGACCGGATATCCTCCACTGTCACCTGCCACTGCCGAAGTATTTTCAGACATGGGGCAACATAAGCCGGGAGCTTGCCATGTCGGACTCTCAGACTTTTCACTGGCCCACCATCTTCCCAGCAACACAGAAAGGGTTTAAACCAAGACAGAAAAATACCCACCCACCCTGATGGGGTCTCTGCTAACATATTACCAAGATTGTACTTTTGAAAGAGCAAAGAAAAGAAAACTATCAGGTTGACCATTCCTAGGCCACCCTCCCTCCTGGACAGGTAAGTTACATTGTGTTTGATCAGGTTCAACCTATTTCCCCATAACAGTTGGAAAAAACAGCTGTAGACCCGTGCATAGAGAGATACGGGCAAGATACAGACGAAGCTGACATATAAAAAGATTGGGATAAGGTAAGTTTTAATCCTGTCCGTCAAGGAGAAACTCCATCTCTTCCAGCTTGCTACTTTGGCATTGGCATCTACCAACCTGCTTTCCCAGTTTCGATGACCATAGTCACCAGGGCCAAATTTGATGCCCAACACTTTAATTTCCTGCTGGGTCTCTGGGAAGGCATCCGGAAGTTCGAAGCTTTCACCCTCCTCACCCATCCAGAACACTTCACTCTTTTCATGGTTGAATTTAGAGCCAAAAGCCTCCGTGTACTGCTCTATCACAGAGACCACCTCCTGCGCCTCCTCAGTCCCAGAGATAATTACAGACACATCATGAGCATAGGCCAGGACCTTCAAAGGCGGCACACCAGCAATGCCCAGAGGCACTCCCCACAATGATGCACCCTCTAGCCTTCTTACAAAGGGGTTGATTGCTAAAGCATATAGCAGGGGGCTCGAAGGACATCCCTGGCCCACACCAAAGCCAACCTCAAAAGGCCGTCCAACCCAACCATTAACAAGTGGGAAACTCTTAGCCCCTCTATATAATGTCTTCAGCCAATCTATAAACCTCCCATGCAGGCCGTATTTACCAAGTAGCAACCACAGATATTCATAATTCACTCGATCAAAAGCTTTTTCCTGATCCAATGCCAGCAAGTACTTTCTCCATCCAGCAGCCCTGCATCGTTCCAAAGCCTCCTGGATAGCCAAAACTGCTGAAAAGGTACTTCTACCTTGGACCAAACAGCGCTGATGGCTGGACAACAAATTGCCTGCTACTGACGACAAGCACCAGGCAAGAATCTTTGCCAAGATCTTTCTATCAACATTGAGAAGACTGATGGGGCACCAGTTTTCAATCATTGAGGTGTCTTTACCTTTTGTCAGAAGATTCACTGCGGATTGCCTCATGGAGGGACAGCTGTTAAACATCCCTACTAAAATGGGAGCCAGAATGGAGGGACCTAAAGCACTTGTAAAATTCAATCCATCTGGCCCAGGCGATTTTTTGGTAGCCAGCTTGTCTATAGCATGAACTACCTTATCTGCTGAAATTGGTTCTGTCAAATTCATCAAAAGCAATGCACCACTTCCCAATCCTGGAGTAGAATCCAGAAAGCTTTCCATCCTGTCCGGTCTAATATCCTTTCTTCCCAGGAGGTCTGCATAATACGACCCAAAGATCTCCAAGATCCCTGATCTAGACTTCATCAGGAAACCTGTACTGTCTTTCAGGCCAATGACCATCTTAACTGCTGTGCCTTGCTTACAGTTCTGCTGACGATCAGACGAGTGATATTTCCCATAATCCCTCTCCAGAACCAAGGAGGCATGCCGGTCATATTGACACTTCCTAAGAAGAAGCTTCATTTCAGAGATCTCCCCTGGATCTCTTCCATACGAGACAAGACGATCAAGCTTCCTCTGCAAATGCTGGTAGGCAATATACATACCAAGCTGCTTCTTCTTACTTATGGCCTTGAAAAGTCCAAGTGCCCTTTGTTTCACAAGCTCCCACCACTCTGACTTACTGCTGCAAAAGTCCAGAATAAAAACATGTGCCTGAAAAAAAATCCTCAAAGGATCGTCTTACCTCTACATCATCCATGAGAGCCGAATTAGTTTCCAGACACCCCTTCCCCTGGGTGGAGTGTCCGAGGCATTCAGAGTCACAGACAGCATACAGTGGTCAGAGAACTCCACCGCCTTCAACTCAGGAGCCGAGAAAGCAGCGTTCTCCTTTAAAAAATAACCTGTCTATCCCGCTCTGACTGTTCTGAAATGTGAAATCCGTGCTTCCAGGGCAGTGCTTAATGTGCATATCTACCAGGCCTGCCTGTCTAACCAAATCTCTGAGAAAAATCCTATCATAACCCAACCTGTCTATGGAGCTTCCCCTGTCTTCAGGCCTAATTATGGTGTTAAAGTCACCTCCAAAGACAACCTGTTCGGATGTAAAAAGGAAGGATTTGATCTTTGTGAGGAGGCATTTCCTGCCCCATTTTGACTGTGGTCTATAGATATTGATCAGGCGCAGGTCCTGCCCCCTAACAGAGATGTCTAAGACCATGCATCTCCCCATTTCTGCCTCAATTACCTCCCATCACGTTACCATATCGGTTTTAAAAAGCACTGCAACTCTGCTGCAAGGTTCAGCCACAACAGACCAAAAGGAGGGACCACATCTCCACTCCCTTTTGGTAGTTTGGTAACACGATGGCCGCCGGGGCCCCTCGTGGCGCCGGCAGCATAGCGTCACACCCTGAGGGAGAGCTACAGCAGGTGTGACGCTACGCTGCCAGCACCACGAGGGGCCCCGGCGGCCATCTTGTTATTACCTGGTCAGTATTGTTTGCAAAACTCCTGATATGCTTATTTGCCTTTTCCTTGGAATAAATATCCTAAAGATACTGCACTATTGGCCTCCTCTGTTCTTTTGAACTCCCATGGAGTTTGCTACATTTACAGAGCGGTCTCTTCCGAGTGTGGCAGTACCATGAGCTAGTGAGGGAGACATGACCAGATCTGACCAGACCAACCTGAGGATATCTGATGTTTTGTGGTTATTTATCACAAATGCGCATTGAGATTGCGTATCTGGTGAGTGCACAATCTTTATACATTTTTTGTCACCTCTTCCACGGTTCCAGCTATTCGATATCTGAAGATCACCTGAGATCTTATCAACACTCTCACTTTGGACTTATCCCATCCGATAGAGTCTGACACTTTCTTCACTATATTGGCCACCTATCTACTGGCCCATGTATTTGCACATTGTCACTTTATTCATTATATTGTTATAATGTTTTGATGCTCAGTACCTGTGGATTTTTATTAGCGCTGCACCCCCCCCCCCCCCCCCCTTATACATATTTCTTAACTACTACCAAACTCTCATCGCCCAAAACAGCTCTCTTCAGAGTATGTGACTCCCCCTCATCCATAAATGATAAAGAAATGGATAAATCAGACTCCATCTCATCACCTGACAAAGCTGAAAAGGTGTTGCCAAGAGGGACCCCTCCTGGGTCTGATTCTGAAGAAGAAAGGGCAGCTCTTCTCGTCCTCTTCTTCTTCTTTTTCTTCCCTTTAACCCTCTCCCAGCCCTCATCAGCTGAATCCCCTTCAGCAGGAGGTGAGACATGGACACCCCTCCCTGAGCTCCATTGGCTCCACCTCCCTCCAGCACCCCCACACTCTCCTGACCACATTTGTCGTGGGACAGGTACCGAAGGTGGAGTAGGCCAAAAGGGAAAATCTGCTAAAGGGGCATTTTCCTAATGACCACCAATGTAAGGAGCATTCTTCCCACTGATCACCAATGTAAGGAATATTCTTACCACTGATCTCCAATGTAAGGGGCATTCTTCCCACTGATCACCAATGTAAGGGACATTCTTCTCACTGACCACCAATGTAAGGGACATTCTTCCCACTGACCACCAATGTAAGGAATATTCTTCTCACTGACCACCAATGTAAGGTGCATTCTTCCCACTGATCACCAATGTAAGGGACATTCTTCCCACTGATCACTAATGTAAGGATCATTCTTCCCACTGATCACCAATGTAAGGAGCATTCTTCCCACTGATCACCAATGTAAGGGACATTCTTCCCACTGATCACCAATGTAAGGGACATTCTTCCACTGATCACTAATGTAAGGAGCATTCTTCTCATGATCACCAATGTAAGGGACATTCTTCCCACTGACACACAATGTAAGGAACATTCTTCCCACTGATCACCAATGTAAGGGACATTCTTCTCACTGATCACCAATGTAAGGAACATTCTTCCCACTGATCACCAATGTAAGGGACATTCTTCCCACTGATCACCAATGTAAGGAGCATTCTTCCCACTGATCACCAATGTAAGAGACATTCTTCCCACTGATCACCAATGTAAGGGACATTCTTCCCACTGATCACTAATGTAAGGAGCATTCTTCTCACTGATCACCAATGTAAGGAGCATTCTTCTCACTGACCACCAATGTAAGGAGCATTCTTCCCACCGACCACCAATGTAAGGAACATTCTTCCCACTGATCACCAATGTAAGGAGTATTCTTCCCACTGATCACCAATGTAAGGAGCATTCTTCCCACTGATCACCAATGTAAGGGACATTCTTCCCACTGACCACCAATGTAAGGAGCATTCTTCCCACTGATCACCAATGTAAGGGGCATTCTTCCCACTGATCACCAATGTAAGGAGTATTCTTCCCACTGACTAGCAATGTAAGGAACATTCTTCCCACTGATCACCAATGTAAGGAATATTCTTCCTACTGACCTCCAATGTAAGGGACATTCTTCCCACTGATCACCAATGTAAGGAGTATTCTTCCCACTGACTAGCAATGTAAGGAACATTCTTCCCACTGATCACCAATGTAAGGAATATTCTTCCTACTGACCTCCAATGTAAGGGACATTCTTCCCACTGATCACCAATGTAAGGAACATTCTTCCCACTGATCACCAATGTAAGGAACGTTCTTCCCACTGATCACCAATGTAGGGGGCATTCTTCCCACTGATCACCAATGTAAGGAGCATTCTTCCCACTGATCACCAATGTAAGGAACATTCTTCCCTCTGACCTCCAATGTAAGGGACATTCTTCCCTCTGACCTCCAATGTAAGGGACATTCTTCCCACTGACCACCAATGTAAGGGCATTCTTCCCACTGACCTCCAATGTAAGGGACATTCTTTCCCTGACCTCCAATGTAAGGGACATTCTTCCCACTGACCACCAATGTAAGGGGCATTCTTCCCACTGACCACCAATGTAAGGAGCATTCTTCCCACTGACCACCAATGTAAGGGGGAAATTCTGAACCAATAGGACTCAAGGCAAATTGCTTGTCTATGCATTGGCACTAGGTTCGGCAAGGTTGCCCAGCACAGCCCAACATGTATGTGAACGGGCCCTTACCCAGACATAACTTTAAGGCCTGATGGAGGGGGGGGGGGCTGTACAAATGCCTGAAACGCGTTAGTTTTTTATCTTGGTTTTCTACTCTGAAATAAATAATTCTGTACTTCTAGACCATTAATATCTCTCTCTTGTCTCTTCTAATATTCACTTTTAACAGTCAAATCCAGGGGCAGACTGACAACTCATGGGGCCCCCGGGCAATAGGGGATCATGGGGCCCAAAGCCTATGAAAAAGGTACCAGGGGCATCTCATGGGGCCCCCTACTGACCCCGGGCCCTCGGGCAGTGTCCAAGTTTCCAAATGGTCAGTCCGCCCCTGGTCAATTCAGAAAGGGAACAGACCATGAATGGCCACTTCTACAATTACATTTCATTAAAATTGGATTGTAAGAAAATATTGGAACATATGGGGGCCTGTTAACCGGGAATCCTTCTGATTTTGACAAGATACAAATTTGCCCATGTTTACGTTCCTCTGTGTTTATAGAAATTGGCTATTTTTCAGGCCTGGAACTCCTTGGTACATTCGCTTCTACGGGCGGTGATATCATTTTTATTGTCACGTCTTTATTTCTGAGCACATATGGCGGTAATATGGGATTGTCGCTATCTCAGCTTAACCATGACTATGGGGGCTGATGAATGCCATGCATCTTATCCTACGTGCATATTTTTAAATAAAATTCCCTTTTCATCTGCAGCTCTCCGTGCAGCCGCGAATGACAACATCCCCAATGTCTTCCTGCTTTTTAAAACGTATTAAGGAGCAACTTCTCCCCCCCCCCCCATCCCCTCCCGCGCCAGATTACCTCGATATTATCCCCGGAAAAAACTAAGAGGCCTTGTCAGAAATTGCAGTTGTCACAGTTTGATGCAAATGATTTTTAGGTGGTGTTCATCTGCAGCGCGATCATTTCACCGTCTAGGTATACATCACGGCGTGACATGTAAATTTCCTGCTACTCTGCTTTCATTTCTACAGGCGGCAATCAAATGAAAAGCGTTCAACCACACCGAAATGTATAAATAATTTTCATTCAAACATATTAACAGTCAAAATACGGGAATTTATCACGGAGCGCAGTGCGTTTAAAGGAGCAATAAAGATTTTACTTTTTAAACATATTCCTACTTAGAAAAGTCGTCTTGGGTAGTAAGTTGCAGCTCGAGTACTTGGGAAGTCTGGTGATGGATGGTTTGGAAGAGTGCGGCAAAGTTTGGTTGTTGATGAGCTAAGCGCAAAGTCCCTCTCCTTTATCCTAATATATTATCGGCTAGGAAAGAGGACCTGTCCATGGAGGGGACCTCCCTGGCTTGCAGTGAATGGATAGGCTGCATTCTCAGTGATTTGATCAGTCTCTAGTGAATGGATAGGCTGCGTTCTCAGTGATGTCACTGTCTCCAGTGAATGGATAGGCTGCATTGTCAGTGATGTCACCAATCTCTAGTGAATGGATAGGCTGCATTCTCAGTGATGTCATCGGTCTCTAGTGAACGGATAGGCTGCATTGTCAGTGATGTCACCAATCTCTAGTGAATGGATAGGCTGCATTCTCAGTGATGTCACCGGTCTCTAGTGAATGGATAGGCTGCACTCTCAGTGATGTCACCGGTCTCTAGTGAATGGATAGGCTGCACTCTCAGTGATGTCATCGGTCTCTAGTGAACGGATAGGCTGCATTCTCAGTGATGTCACTGGTCTCTAGTGAATGGATAGGCTGCATAGTCAGTGATGTCACCGGTCTCTAGTGAAGGGATAGGCTGCATTCTCAGTGATGTCACTAGTCTCTAGTGAATGAATAGGCTGCATTCTCAGTGATGTCACTGGTCTCTAGTGAATGGATAGGCTGCATAGTCAGTGATGTCACCGGTCTCTAGTGAAGGGATAGGCTGCATTCTCAGTGATGTCACTAGTCTCTAGTGAATGGATAGGCTGCATTCTCAATGATGTCACCGGTCTCTAGTGAATGGATAGGCTGCATTCTCAGTGGTGTCACTGGTCTCTAGTGAATATGTTGGTGGTGAAAGGTGGTGTAGTAAATGGTGAAGAGTTGAGAGGTCAGTAGTAAGTGGTGTGAAATTCAGGGGTCATTAGTAAGTGATGCAGAGTTCAGGGGTAAGTAGTAAGTGGTGCAGAGTTCAGAGGTCAGTAGTAAGTGATGCAGAGTTCAGGGGTAAGTAGTAAGTGGTGCAGAGTTCAGAGGTCAGTAGTAAGTGATGTAGAGTTCAGAGGTCAGTAGTAAGTGAGGTGGAGTTCAGAGGTCAGTAGTAAGTGATGCAGAGTTCAGAGGTCAGTAGTAAGTGATGCAGAGTTCAGGGGTCATTAGGAAGTGATGCAGAGTTCAGGGGTCAAAAGTAAGTGATGCAGAGTTTAGAGGTCAGTAGTAAGTGAGGTGGAGGTCAGAGATCAGTAGTAAGTGGTGCAGAGTTCAGGGGTCAGTAGTAAGTGGTGCAGAGTTCAGGGGTCGGTAGTAAGTGATGCAAAATTCAGAGGTCAGTAGTAAGTGGTGCAGAGTTCAGAGGTCAGTAGTAACTGGTGCAGAGTTCAGAGGTCAGTAGTAAGTGAGGTGGAGTTCAGAGGTCAGTAGTAAGTGATGCAGAGTTCAGAGGTCAGTAGTAAGTGATGCAGAATTCAGGGGTCAGTAGTAAGTGCTGCAAACTTCAGAGGTCAGTAGTAAGTGGTGCAGAGTGATGCATTCACTATATCTGGTCTCCCCAACCCTGCATTCACTATATCCGTTCTCCCCGGACCCTGCATTCACTATATCCGCTCTCTCCCGGACCCTGCATTCACTATATCTGGTCTCCCCGGCCCCTGCATTCACTATATCTGGTCTTCCCGGACCCTGCATTCACTATACCTGGTCTTCCCGGACCCTTCGCTCATTATATCTGGTCTCCCCGGACCCTGCATTCACTATATCCAGTCTCTCTGGACCCTGCATTCACTATATCTGCTCTCCTCGGACCCTGCATTCAGTAAATCCGGTCTCCCCGGACCCTGCATTCCCTATATCCGGTCTCCCCGGACCCTGCATTCACTATATCGGTCCCCCCCGGACCCTGCATTCACTATATCCGGTCTCCCCGGACCCTGCATTCGCTATATATCCGGTCTCCCCGGACCCTGCATTCACTATATCCGGTCCCCCCAGACCCTGCATTCGCTATATCCGGTCTCCCCGGACCCTGCATTCACTATATATCCGGTCTCCCCGGACCTGCATTCACTATATCCGGTCCCCCCGGACCCTGCATTCACTATATCCGGTCTCCCCGGACCCTGCATTCACTATATCTAGTCCCCCGGACCCTGCATTCACTATATCTGGTCTCCCCGGACCCTGCATTCACTATATCTGCTCTCCCTGGACCCTGCATTCACTATATCCAGTCTCCCCGGACCCTGCATTCACTATATCCGGTCTCCCCGGACCCTGCATTCACTATATTTGCTCTCCCCGAACCCTGCATTCACTATATTTACGGTCACCCCGGACCCTGCATTCACTATATACGGTCACCCCGGACCCTGCATTCACTATGTCTGGTCTCCCCGGACCCTGCATTCACTATATCCGCTCTCCCCCGACCCTGCATTCACTATATCTGGTCTCCCAGGACCCTATATTTACTATATCCGCTCTCCCCAGACCCTGCATTCACTATATCTGTCTCTCTCACAGTACACAGAACATAGAAATGCAATTATTTAAGTAAATATAAACTGCTAAATACCTTTTCCCATCAGCAGTCTTGTGACTTCAGCATAGCACTGGATAAAGCTTCTAGGAGTTTTCTTTCTGCTCTAGGAGGGTGCACAACAAAAAAATATAATGCCAGAAACCATAGTAAAAGTTCAATAAAGTCCACATAGCACTAGGGCAAGCTCTGGAAGCTGTACAGGCTCTGGGTAAAGAACAAATGAAGAAAAGACACCGACATGATAAAAGCACAAAGGAAGTCCATCAGTGCAGTATAATGTACAGATGACGCCCCAGTCCTCGCTGGATAAGCCGTGGTTCACGCTAGGGGAGACTGTGGATGGTAATAGCTGGCCAGCATGTGTGTCTCTTGGCAGAGGGGCAATGGAAAGCACCTTGGAGTGCAGCGTCGGCATCAGCGTGATGACGTAGGCAAGACCAGCAAGCAATACGACGCGTTTCGGAACATGTGCGAGGCCACTAGAGGGCAAGCGCGCTCCTTACTCAAGCACAAGCTTGATGCAGGACCCCTGAGCTCTGTCTGGGCAGTGATGATTGGCCCTGTACCAGGAGCAGACTGACAACTCATGGGGCCCCCGGGCAATAGGGGATCATGGGGCCCCTGTGTCCTTGCCCAAACTCAAAAAAAGTCTATGAAAAAGGTATCAGGGGCATCTCATGGGGCCCCCTACTGACCCCGGGCCCTCGGGCAGTGCCCGAGTTTCCAAATGGTCAGTCTGCCCCTGCCCTGTACTGATCACATGCACTCTCCCATGAAAAAAAAAACTCTCTAACAATACACACCAAACTGAGTATGTGCATGTGACTAGGGATTCAGTGTGTATTAGCTGGTCATTTGAACAAGAGGAGGGGCAGAGAAGACAGGATCAAACAGCCTTTTTACAAAATGCGGAGGATTAACCCCTTAGGTTCCACAGTGAGTATAACAAGCATGCTTTACTGCATCTACAGACTGATTGTACTGTTGGGGGTTTAGTAACACTTTAATGATATGCTTCTTGTAGGACCACACCCATTTTAAGTGAATGCCCCACCCCTAATTAAAGTACATGCTCCGCCTACAATGGCTTGTTGGGACACATGGCAAAAAAAAATATGTCCCTAAAATATTTTTGGGGATGGTGGCAACTATAC